GCGTGTCTGTGCTGCGTGCGGCGGTACATTTGAATTACACCGGGCCAGCAGCACACTCTGAACCGTCAGGAAGACTCGGGTCTAACCATAGACTGTATAAAGGGTCTAACTAACGCATGGTCTAACTAACCTTATTTAACAGAAAATAAAATGGCAACACCAGGGCTTGGTCGCAATGGTCGCGTTAAGGGGTGGGGAACCTTTTTCCTCTCAAGGGCCATTTCAATTTTTTCAACATCCTCCGAGGGCCGTACAAATTATTGACCTCTGCTTAAAAATACAAAAATCACAGCCCAATCATTTCGCCTTTCTTTCATGCTGTGCAAAGAAACAGCAACCTCTGAATCCAGATATCTCACCATGACTCGTGCATGCATGCACGTGCACGGTTGTGGCATGACCACCAAAACAGAAAGATATGGACACAAGATGTGTGCGAATGTATTGTATGGGGGGGGACCTAACCTCCTCTAGGGGGGTCCCCCCCGGACCCCCCTATGCTCCCCCGGGAAGATTTTTTTTAAAAGTTGAAGTTAAAAGCATCAATCTGGTGCACTTTGAGAGCAACATGAAAGAGATCTATGGATACATCTCTCAACACCCATATGAAACAGAACTGTAAGCAGATTTCTTTTTCTTTATGTATATCTTACAAATCACTCCTTTCAAACTGTATTCTTGTTTATTAATAACAACTTTTTTTACTGTCATATTGTATTTTATACCTGTTTACTTTATTCTCTTATTTTTTTATAATGATCATATAAAGATGTGCCTTTACCTCACTGGTTGGAGAAAAAGCTTCTTATATTCGTTGGCATAGCTAGCTAACCAGATGCTAATAACAAGAAAGTTATTGACTGTATGATCAGTATGACAGATGAACAGATCGCCTCTGGGCTTTCAACTAAAGACACAGCCACCGAGCCACGCAAAAACTGCGGCATGCGTACGGCTCCTTATGGGTAGGCCTACTGCAATTTGTGAAGTGTTGGAGCCGTGTTCTGGTGCTCTCCGTCAGAACTGCACCCCTGTCAGACGAGACATATACCACGTGATGACACGTTAGGCTCGTGTTGTGTTCAAGGACCCTGACCTTGGCCAGAAAAAACAGGCTTGTTTAATTTTTTTTGCGGTCTAGATTTCTTTAATTTTTTTCTTTTTTGCGTGTGTTTATAAATTACCTCGAGGGCCGTACCAAATGGTCTCGGGGGCCGTATACGGCCCGGAGGCCGGAGGTTCCCCACCCCTAACCGAATACTAACTTTTAGTGCGTGACAGTACTCCGCCATTTTAATTGAAACATGACATTTGACATTTTGATCATTTACACAGGCAATCATTTTGGAGACATTGAAACAGATGTAATGAGAGGAATTTGGTGTCCTTTTGCCCCAATTCAGTAAGTGACACAATATGACAACTGAGATGAGAAGAAGCCAGGCTATTGAGACGTAAACGGTCGTGAATGGATTATGAGACGTACATATTGCAGGTTGATGATAGTGTACAACCAGGCCTCTCTTGAATAAGGCTCTAAATAATGTCTTCTCAGTCATTAGATAAATGAATGCTTATTAGCCCTTCCTGGTTTATGAGTGAGCATGCAATAACTTCCTTAAATCTCCCATAAGGCATTTATGGAGGAAGAGCTGCCACTTACTGGATGAATAAGGAGCTATTAAGCGTGTTTATAATGCCTTGCAGATTTTACTCATTGTTATAAAGGATAATCTGTCCCTATATGAGCATCAATTACCAGGACATGAATGAGGGTGAGTATTTTGTCATTTCAGTTGCTCTTTCTGTCTTCTGTCCCCTCTCGCTGTTTTCTGCCCGGATAAGCTCACACGGCAGTCAGTCTAGAGCAGACATATTATATTGCATGTCATTGTGTTACAAAGAGCAGAAGAGACGTCCACTCATTCTCCTCATTCTCCTCATTGTGTCAGAAACTCATTCTAACAGGTTGACATGTACATGATGTTCTTCTGCTCGCCTGCCATTCAAATGCACCTTACATTTTTCCAGCTATTTGATTGTCTGCAGCGATTCTTGCTGATTTGTGTGTCATGTTGGCTCTGCAGGACCGGCCCTGACCAATTTGCTGCCCTAGGCAAGATTTTAGCTGGCGCCCCCCCAACAAATGCAGACACTCACTATGACTCGCACATGCACGGTTGTGGCATGAGAAAACAGAAAGATATGGACACAAGATGTGTGCAACTCTATTTAGTATCCTATCCATTTGAACATGATTTAAGTGAGGGGGGTCCGGGAGCGTGCACCCCCGGGAAGACTTTTTTTTTTATATTGAAGTTAAAAGCATCAATCTGGTGCACTTTGAGAGCAACATTAGGAGATCTATGGATACATCTCTCAACACCCATATGAAACAGAACTGTAAGCAGATTTTCTTTTTCTTTATGGATATTTTACAAATCACTCCCCTTTCAAACAACTTTTTTTTAAGGTCATATAGTATTTTATACCTGTTTTTCATCTATTCTCTTATTTTTTATAGCTATAATGATCATATAAAGGTGTGCCTTTGCCTCACTGAGCTGAGGTTATCAGAGCTGCTCAGTCTTTCAGGAGAGAGCTCTCTAAAGCTCTCCCCCCCGCGGACGCTTACACAGTAAATTCCAATGTTAATAAAAGCACACAGAAGCTGTACTGTATATGTTTTTTGGGAGTTCGATTTATTTTAAATTAAGACAAATACAAAATTAAAACCTATAATTGCACACTAAAACCATTATTTCAAAAAAAGAACAATTTCACATAAACTTCTGGTTTTTATTGGGACTGGGGCAGTTCAATTCGATTTTTTTGGGGGGGGGTGTGCTATAGTTTATGGGCGCTGTAATATATTGTAGTTCTGTTAGTATAAGATAATAAGATGTACTTTGTTGATCCAAAATTGGGAAATTGTGTTTTAAAAATGTAAATAAAAAAAATATATATTTTTTACATTTCTAACTTTTTATTTTTTTTTTTCTCCCCAATTTTCGTTGCCCCCTATGGGTTGATGCGCCCTTAGCCTTCGCCTATACTGCCTATGCCGAGGGCCGGCCCTGCTCTGCTGCCTAATGAAGTATGCACTTTTATTTTAGAGTACATGACAGCAACTCTTCTCTGCCTCCTGTAATATAAACTCTATGTTCAGGTATGCAGGAAAAGCAGATGTCTGATTTATTTTGTGCACTGTCTGGGTCCAAGGTTTATGAATATATTTAGTGGGAGAGAGAGGTATTCTTTGTTTGGCTTTTCATTTTCCTTTTTGAAATATGATCCTCAGTTGAAGTCTGAGCAGGCATGTTAAACACTACCCTCCCCATCTCTTCTCTCTTATAAGCACCATGCATGAAAACAAGAACACCTTCTTCAGCTCCTTCAAAACATTGCACAATTGCAATGGAAACGAAAACGTTGAATCATGCTTTAACTAAAAAAGATATGTGCTTGTGATAAGAAAATGAAAAATTAAATAACTGCTTCAAAAATATTAAAGGGGCCCTATTATGCTAATTTTCTACCGTGACATGTTTACATGCTTTATTTTTCTCATACTGCCTGTAATTCAGCACCTCTTTTCACCCTCTGTCTGAAACGAGAGCACAGTCTGCTCTGATTGGTTAGCTTGTCGGCTCTGTTGTTATTGGTCAATTGCTTAGAGATGTGCCGCCCCTTAGCCTATCACAAACACGCTTGCCAATAGAAGCGCAAGGGTTTCAAAGTCATGTCACTATGTCATAGAAGTAAACAAAGGAGTCCAATCGAGGCGTTGGAGGGGATTTTGGGGGATTTTAGCCTTTGCAGACCATTTACATGCACAAGAAACTATATTACACACAACAGGAAAGTAATCCCAAAAAAGCATAATTGTGCCACTTTAAGATACATTTCACATTAAATTACTCTTGTCATGCACATTAAATTGAATGTATTTGTTGGCTTATGAAGATTAACTGATGTGGCAGCACAGCTGGCATCATCTACAAAAAGGACGTTTAAGTATTTAAAGTTCACTGTTATTGACAACAGATGGTAAAATAACAAATTGACAGTTGAACACAAATTGATTTTGCCAGTACTGGTGTTGAAAACTTGACTGCACAATATGTTATATTTAATATAGGACACACCGCATTGTGACCCGGTAAGTAAATGTGTGAGAAAGTTTCCAGGGCTGATCTGAGAATATCTGTAAAGATCAGACTGCACTGGAGGCTGGCTGTCTCACGCTGCGTGTCATCAGTCTGACAGTTTCTCTCTCACACAGAGTCAAGGACAGAGAGCAAGAGTGGCACAATGATATGTTTATTGAGAGGCTTTGGATAATAGAAAAGGTGGTGGCTGCTGCTGGAATGTCACAACCATTGACAAAAAACATGAACTCCCTTATCTAGACACACACATACAAACATTCACACACACACATACTCACTCACTCACGCATGCATGCACACAAACACACACACACACACACAAACCCATCACTCCAAAAAGAGAATACGGCAATACACAGGACAAGACGATAATCACAGATCCTACAAGCTCATTTCTACATGTAAAATTCACGGTTACACATTTATGAGGGAGATTTTCTTTTTAGGCACAGCAAAAGCAATAAGATGTGTATTTCAACAACAACAAAATAATAATAAAAAATCAAACATCTTGCACATTTCATACATCCTCAGGGGGTTAGATGGACTGAGTGTTTACGCTGGACTCCTCTATATGCAGCCCGTAGGGACTCTGGTGAAAAGGTTGCACTATAGCACCAAAGGAGAACATGTTATAAGGGGATATGGCAATAAAGGTGAAAGGATAGATAAATGTCAGCATGTTTTTTTTTAATAACTAGGACTAGTACCAGTATAAGGACTCAGTCCATCTGGTTTCCCCCTGTATACATCTTTATATTATGTCTTTCTTTCTATACAGTACATATACACATTTAGCATTTGCAGAACTTGGGAATGAAACATTTAATATAAATGTAATCCCAGGTCAGACGGTAAAATGGCTATTAGAACATTTTCAGTCTACATATAGCTCCACTGGTCAACGTCCAGCGGCTTCGAAATAGAGTAAATCACACACAGACAATATCATAGACAGTTACTTGAGCCTTTTTGCTCTTTTTCTATATTCTCAATTCAAGTTCAGAAAGTTGACTGTATGTGTAGAACGCTTCAGGATCATGGTTAGTATATAACGATAATTTAGCCTTCCTCTTCTACAACAAGAAACCCAAATCAGACCCTCACGATCCCCCTCGCCTCGTCTTTGGAAAACCTTGTGCTCAGGTAAGAAAGACAGTCAGGTTTTAGAACATCGGCTGCAGAGGCTGGACTGTGAGAAACGCAGTAGCTCTTTGACAGCCTGTAGACTGTGGCCTTGTACTTTTGAAATGAGCACTGTAGAGTAGTAGCTGGTGTTTTCATTTGTGTGAAGGGAAGGGTTTGTTTTAGCAAGTCTTTGCTTTGTCGTTTTGTTATTTAGTCAGAAACCTCGGGGAAGCACACAGTCAATCAAGGAAGCACTGAGGCGATTAGCGGTTTGTTTTTGAGCAGTTAGAAAATTCATTATTCACAATTTCAACCCGATTGTTTTTAGGTGAAATTACTGAAACCTGGCCTGATTGAAAACATTTAAGTTATTATGTGATTGACGAAAATCTTAAACTGTGATGTATTTTCCTGGACTTATGCTGCTTTCATGAGATATCGGAATTTTCATATTTATTTATGTAGCTCCTAACTTGTACATTTGCAATGTGATACGCCAAAAAAAGCTATTACGGGAGACAATATGTGCTTGTCTTTCAAATGTAATTGATAATGCAGTTTTGTTCTATGGTAAATTCATATTTCTGGAGTTTGCAATAACTCTTTATGTGCTAGCTGACTGCTCAGCGGTGCATTCAGGCAATCTGTGTCAACTCATTAAGTCATGTGATCATGATATATTTACCAGACGTTGAAGTGAGGTGATCTATCGCTGGTCATCATATCACATGGAGTGCACCAACACTAGGTTGTAAATAATGGAAGGCATGCATGAACTCCACTATTTGCAGCATGGACGTGTTAATCACAGGGCATCACAGATAAATGGAAGTATCATGGATACGTTAACTTATAACCTGGTCCACTGTTTACCTGCTGTTCGTCATGTTGATGTTAAACATCATAGCTCTAAACTTTAAATGATTTGACGAGGAGAGCTTGAACACACCATTAGTTTCTAACTGTGGGTTACATTGGGGACAATATAGCTTTCAATGTAACCATTCGGAAACGCATCAACAACCACCGCTTCAATGAACATTTTTTCTATACATGTAGACAGAAGACATTTTGAATTCCTGATATTATGGATAACTTGAAGCTGGTATTTTTGACATTTACATGTTCACACTTTTGGGTTTGTTTTACTTGTGTGAATGCCTGTCTCTGTGCTACTGGCTGAATCAGCTTCCACAGTGATACTATTGCTTCACATACGGCAGATATTAACAATTGCTGGATGCTCAGTGGTAGTATTCAAAGCAACAATATACACACACAGCAATGGGATGGCATGTTGGGGCAGGATTTGTAGCCAAAACGTGTTCATTTCAGATCAAACTTTTCATCTTCACAGCTAAAATGGTTTATCACAGTGGAGATGGCATTATGGCGCAGTGTGTACGACGTGTGTGTCAGTATTTTCCTGCATGAGTAACAGACGTGATTGTTTGCAATGTGCTTGTTTAAATAAGCCAGCTCAGCAGATGGAGTTTGCCTCTCACCGCTGGGAAATCTCAAACCCACAATGCACTGGGAGCATCGCCAAATGAGGAAGTGGCAGCAATGAGCAACCAGTCATAGCTTGAATACTGGAGCTTTCCCTCCCTCTCTACTTCCCGTCGCAGTTCCTCCAGGAATGGCCATTGTTGTGCTATCCATCAACATGAATTGAGTCTAGAGCAGGAGTTAAGTCCTAACTCATGTGAACAAACACACACACACACACACATACATACCACGGACACAGTAAAAGCGATTAACACAGAGCACAAAAGGAAAATGGGGACAGAGTGAAGTGCGGTTTGGTCCCCATCATTACGGTTTGGTTTCTGTGCAGGAAAAAACAACCATTCTGGAAATCCTTGATCCTTGCATCAATTCAATGTCAACACCAGGAAGTTATTCCAAATGTAGTCCTACTTTTACATCCGATCTCTTTCTTTTGTCTTCCTAAATCCCCTGATCAGTAAGTGGGAATTTCTTTCGATGGATTATCATGATCACGTTTTCCCAGCATCTTCATGAGGAAAACAGATTTCACCAAAAACAGCTTACAATACACTTACCAGCAGTTAGCATGATGATTCAGCATTAACTTGTAAAAGCAGCGAATGAGCCAAACACAAAGGGCTCCCAGTCAAACCAAATGATGGTGAGATGTTCATTGCGATGTGTGAATGCAAACTAATGACATCACGTTCCTCTGCCAGCACAAGGCGGGTTCAGATTTCAGTTCATTGTCGTGGTGCATGAATGTGTGGAGCCAGTACGCAATGTTAAAATTCAGCTTTTCAATTGAATAATTTGCCCGAAATGCATCTTAATGTTTCCTAAGATGTTTATTTGTTCGGTTTTTAGAAGCCTGTGAAACAGTATTTAGTTCACTGAGGGACAATGAAGATCTTTACTGAAAGCCAGACATTAAGGCAGAGTGAGGCAGCTGTCATTGTATGTTTTTGAACATGATACTATTGAATTATTTCTCCGGCCTGACATCAGGTTTTTTCTATTTATGATCAGGAAATAAACTTTACTAAAGGCCAATCTGAGCAGCTGCCCAGTAACTGTGAATCCTATAATGATATAATCCTATTCTAATTCTCCTCAAACGTCTTTCATTCCCTGTAGTCCTTCTTTGGCTCGTCTAAATCAAAAAAGACATATTTTCGTCCCCTAATAAACAATCACAGTCCAGTGGTGGATTGTCAGATTGTCAACATAAATCGCTACGAACACCTTGATGTGAGGTGCGGATGGAAACACTGAGAAATAGGGAGAAGGTGGCAAGTTTGCCCGAGTGTCTTAAAGCCAATCTGATGTTTTCTTTCAGGTTTAGCCCAGTTATTCCTTTTGTCCACTGCTACTGCAGGCCCAGCAACTGGATGCTGGTTTCCCATAGGCTTAGCTGCAGCTGGGGGTCAAAGGACGGGGGTGTTGTCATCTCCCTGTGTCCATTGGCCCAGTAGCCTCCTCCACATCCCCCCCCCTCCAGAGCCGGTGACAGGGCGGCAAACAGCACAGTGGTGGCGCCTTCTGCGGGAGTCTGAGGAAACAAACAAACACATGAATGTATTTTTAATTATAAAATCCAAGTCCAAAAGCATAAACTTCAAAAGGAATAAGAGGGACTTCAGAATGACAAGTTCAACATCAATTCATAACTGCAAAAAACAAATATCGTGTCTCAGTCTGTGTGTGAATGCCAGAGGAGGGCTGATGTCACTGGATGTAAGCGTCAGTGTAAAGGAGACTCAGGGTGTGTGTGTGTGTGTGTGTGTGTGTGTGTGTGTGTGTGTGTGTGTGTGTGTGTGTGTGTGTGTGTGTGTGTGTGTGTGTCTCTGTGTGTTGTAGTACTCCACAGTATTTCAAAAACATACATATTAAATGTTCTTTTAAATGAATTATCATTTTGCTTGCTAGGCTTTATGTTTCAGTACAATTAACGATACAGGCAAACACAACTTGTTCTTCATTATTCATGTTGCTCTCTGTTCACTTAGAGAGCTTTAAGCGTGGAAAAGGAAAGTTTCTTTGTGTAAAGAAAACATTTATTTCCATAGCAACAAGCCACTCATTTCATTGCTGATTATGTCTGATTTTTGCAAAACTCACTGTCCTAGTTATTGGAGTTTTTTTCTTGATTAAAACATACGTGTGGTTTCGCTTACAGGGCTATTACTTTGTATTAATGCTGTCAAAATTATCGCGTTAAGGGCGGTAATTAATTTTTTGAATTAATTGCGTTAAAAATATTTAACGCATGGAACGCATGTGCAGAATGGCCCGCCCCATACATCCCACCAGTGGCAGCGCTGGGGTAGGCTACAACCATACCAAGAAATGGCTTAGCCCCACCATGAGAAATGATGTTAAAGTAAGCTGAGTAGATTGCACAGACAGCAGTTTGTAAGATTGATTTCAGTAGCCGCTTGTCTGGAAATACCGAAGACTAGAAACGGTTTTGAAAACTTTTGTCACGTAGTGATCGTCTTCCCAATAGAACATCTTTGATAATGTCTTCTGGCCAATCAGAATCAAGATAACGGCGTGGTGTTGTTGCAGGAAGTCCTGACGGAGAATACTTTTGCTGTAGTACATCTATATACATCGATACAACATTACGTGTTGATAGAACAACAACACGTAATGAAATAAGACCCCACGGTTTGATGATTGATAGGTGTGTGGGCCGTCTTTCATTTTGACACACAGAACAATGTTATAATAAACATACATACATACTGTATGTTAAATGGATATATCCGCCTTCTTTCATTTATCTTTCAATTCCCACACAATATACGTAAAGAAATGGCATATTTTGGACATAGTTCGAATGGTGATTAATCATGATTAATTCATTTTTAAGGTTTAATAATCTGATTAAAAATGTTAATCGTTTGACAGCCTTACTTTGTATACATTTCTTCATAGACCAGTTTATGTGTAGTTGTTCTTATCATTTTATGTAAATGTTTCAAGTTTAAAGTGTTTGAAATAAGTATTGAGCGTGGTTTCCTTTTTAATTCATGAAGATAAATTGATTTATACTATAGTGTCAACAGCAGCATCAATTCAGCATCCATGCTTTTTTTCATTTCCCAAAGTTTCTATTCATGTGGCAAAGCTAAAGGCTTTAAGCAGACATATCAACTGTCTATTACTAACTCATCCCTGCTTTCATGTCGAATGGGAGAACCCTCTATTCATAGCTGAAATTGATTCTTAATAGGGTTTGGCAGCAGAAAAATAAACGGTGTCAATTGGTTTCTGATGGCAACATAATTGAATTGAATGAACTGATTAAAAAGTATATCTGAAAAGATGCCAACTTCTGAGGCCGGTTAAGCTCTTGCTCAGGAGGTAGAGCCTCTCGACCGTTAATCAAAATGTTGGCGGGCAGCTGTGTCTCTAACTTGTTCAAATGATTTGGATTAGATATCAATGGAACAAGTAGCTGAAACTCTTGAGGATGTAATATCGATTTCACAGACATTAAGGCTCTAATGGTGAGAGAGGGGTCCCCACCTTGACACCCCTCTCTACCTCAACCACCCTGTGACTGTCTATTGTCTGTTCCTGGTCTTTATTAAAACAAAGGAATAAGGTTTCAGTGTACTTGTTCATCTATCTATCTGGCTTTACTTGCCAAGGATACTGCATTTTCCTAGTTATCTTTACTGATTAGAATGACTTCTTCCTCCGAATAATGACTGCAGCTCGCTGCCAATAGATGCTGCTGGTTTCATCGACTTTTTAAGAGCATCACAATACATGAGAGCTTTGCGCTTTATTTCTGTCTTTTTATTCCTCTTCCTATCTATCTTCTAGCCTTTGGCTCTGCATGCACCTAAATGTAACGGCTCTGGATTAAAAGGTGTCGTAACAGGAGAAAATCACAGTTTGTGTGTTTGTGTGCGGAGTAATGATTACATGCATGAGTTTGTTTGATTAATGTGTTTGCGTATGTGGGGCAGAACCAACCCAGAGGTTGGTCTCTGAGGCAAATGCCTGTGACAATTGCCATTTTTGGCTCGACCACGCACACACGTCTCCTTTCATTAAATCCCAGGGACATTAACGGCATCCTGCGGCCAGCGCTTTAAGCTATGCAAGAAATGTTTTAAAATATAACACAGTGAACAGCCTGGCTTGGTTTTTATTAGCACTTCCATGTTCAGTGATTTTGAAAGGCTGTGTGTGTATGCATGTGCGCATGCATGAGCGTCTGTGTTTCATCCTGAAGAACGTCTGCACCGAGTTTGTTGATTTGGGTCACTGTGGTACACCTTGAACAAACTTAAACTGTGACGCAGTTTCACACTTCACACTTTTGGTAAAGAGATCTAAGTTATTTGACTTGAAAGATAAAGGGAGAAATGAGCAGTCAGTTTTAAAAAGGAAAACTTAAACGCTTCTGGCTACAAGCTCTTGACTTCTGTTGTAAAACTGCAAAGATATTGAAGTGCCGTTTACCACCAGCAGAAGAAATAACTTGCCAATGTTTCTCAGATTGTGACTGAACACACTTAGATAATACATTTTAAAGCAACCATTTACAGTAAGTAACTGAATATTAATCAAGAGTTAGATGCAAAGTATTTGGGGTTGGGAGAGACATCACTCAGTGGTGAAGTAGAAAAATACCCGGTGTACTGTGAGAGTAAACTTACTCGGATAAAAAAGACATTGATAAATGTAGAATGACATAAATCACAGGTGTGAATAGCAGATGAGTATACGGACAGTGTTTTACCCTGAAAAGCAGACGAGCAATAGTGCTCTGTGCCAGGCAGAGGGGTGTCCACAGGTGGCGATAGAGAGCAGTGTCCACCATGCCAGGGTCCACAGCACAGGAACTCAGTGGGAAACCTCCGCACTGCAGCTCCTGGTGGAGGTGGGAACTAAACCACAGCTGGGCCAACTTACTGTGACAATAAGCAGCATGGGCTGAATAACTCTGGCTACAAGAAAGGAAACAAAAAACACGATCAGACTGTACCATTAAAAGTGCCTCAGTTTTTATATAACAAGTATACAATTCTAGTAAACTGTGGTTCTCAGTGGAAACGTATAAAGAACTCTATGAGTCCTCAGGAGTAAAACACATCTGAGACAAGACTGGAGTTTTTTTACAAGGATTTTTATAAGTGCAGTATGGGTTAATTCCGGTATAGCACATACTTGTGTTTATTTGGATTTGTTGACATCTTGTGTGATCATCTGACAGATGTTGCCAAACCTCCAGGTCTTATCAAAAAGTACGAAAATATGATTTCAGTTTAAATAAACTGGAATTTCCTTTTACACATTGTTTGAATGTTCTTTAAAAATCACCTTTTTGTGAATGCCAAGCTTTGTATTATATCATTTAATAAAGTTGTGATTGCTAAAATGTGGGCAAGTGTGTTTGTGAGCTTACCAGCTATTTAAATCATTTAGTCTAATCTCGCCAATGCGGTGGGCAGAGGAGGAGACATTGACCACTCGTGAGAAGTAACCATATTTCCCAGAATCCTTCAGTGTATCCAGGAGCAGCCAGGTCAACAGGAAGTGGCCTAGGTAGTTCACGCCAAAGTGCTGCTCAAATCCATCCTCAGTACGGCCTTCGGGAAGCAACATGACCCCTGCTACACACACAAACACACACACAAACACACACACAAGCTTTTAGAGCACAGTAGTAGTCTCTTATAAATGACGTGCAGTTGCTAACACAGAGGAAGTTATGGTAGGTGTTATCAATGACATTGAGCTCATATGAGAGGGCTGTGGGCAAATATCAGACATAAAAGGGTTGATCTGATTGATGAGCAAACCCTGGCAAAAATAACTCCTAATTCCACCGCTGTGAGAGGATTTTTACTTTCCTCATGAATACTAGATGAACTACTGCATATGCAGCATGCAGCCGACACGGAAAAGAACATGACATCTCCATCACTCACCATTATTGACCAGGATGTTTAGCGGCAGGTCCCGCTCCTTGAAGCTCTGGACAAATTGATGGACAGACTGCGAAGACGCTAGGTCCAGTTTGGTGAACTCCACTGGGTTGGACACACACACACACACACACACACACACACACACACACACACACACACACACACACACACACACACACACACACACACACACACACACACACACCATTGTGAACGGATTATTTCTTCAAGCAGTTTTGGATGTAAGACATCAAAGAGTGTTTTAATCATCTATTACAGCAGGCTCGGTGGGTCCTTAAAGTACAATACTGGCAGCGCTACGCTTCTGTTGCTACAGCACATTATTTCAAACCTAATACTTCCTCCTGAGCTCCATCAAAGCTTAACACACCGTTCTATCAAGTCTAATGTGTGATAAGACACAGGTAAAGACGGCGAGGCGCAGGAGCTGCTATCATCAAAGTGTGAAAGTGATTTAGTGTGCTTAAGTGTAAGTGTATGCTGTGTGCAGAGAAATGACTTTGTGAAGGCTGAGTATACTTAAAGAAAATTGACAAATACTTTTTGTGAGGACCTCTACTTGGCACGATAAAAAGAGGCAAGGTATTTTATTACCTGCAGAGCCATATGACAGCAATTCAATGACCCCTTTAATTAGCCAATACATGATAAGGGATTGCTGTAAATGTTGTTTGTCGCTCATGTCAGTCATGTCATGGCTTTAATAGTTTTACTCGATGTTTGTCAATGTCAGAGAAAGTAAAGAAAATCAAACTTAAATCTAAATCTTCTCTCAGTTGATTGCAGTGTTGCAGATTGAAGATTCAATTCCAACATTTCTGATTCAGTGTTTACTCTTTACTTTCTGTACAGCTCTGGAGCTTTGTATCCTACTTATTTTTGGTCCTCCTTTATTTACTGTTGCAATAAATAACGGTGAAGATGTTCATCTGTCTTTCCCCTGCAGGCTCTCTGATGGTGGAATGACCTTCCCAATTCCACAGGACTGCACAGTCACTCCTAATCTTAAAAAGCAAATTGAAATCTCATCTCATCAAGAAAGGCTTTAAATTGCCACTCCACGTCCTCTGTGTGCAAATTACAGCCTTTCATTTCATTTCCCAGATATTCGCTAGAAAAACAAATGATTGGATTGTTAAAATACTGCTTGTCCTTTTTGAAACTTTGAATGGGAAATTGGCATCGGTTTGCAGTGAACCCCAAAACCTCTCATCAAAATAAAAGTATTATAAGTGCAGTGCGTCGACATCAAGAGTACAAATAACATGTTGTGAAAATAAGGTTTCATTTTCAATAGTTCAAGATTGCTATTGAGTGAGGTGTTTCAATTCTTCCCTGTTTTACTTTTTAATTGAACTGGATGAAAGGAGTATTGTTCTATATCTATGTGACATGTATACCTCAATATGCAAGAAGCTTCAGGATCGTTCACTTTTTTCAAACAGTAATTGCTTAAATCCTGCCCAAACACTCAAATATGTAAATATACTTGTTTCCTCTTGGTTTATGAAGGACTTTTTGAATATTTGATACATTGTTTTAAAATGAATAGAAAAATGCGGAAACCGAGGAACTAAACTATAGCACACTGCCATTACACAGAAAGAAGACCATGTACTTCAATCATCAGGAAAAGTATACATTGTCCCTCCCTATAAATGTGTTCATCCTGTAAAGGGTCAAACACAATGGACAAAGACAGGAAGAGGACGGAGGAAAGAGCGTTGATGGAGCACATATAGGAAAAAGCCGCCCTGACGCATGAGAGTGCCTCCATTCCTGATGAAGGTCTGATAGCAGCCTTATCTCCACGCCACGCCACTCACCTCCCGATGAGAGTGTGGGTGTGGATGTGTGTGTGTGTGTGTGTGTGTGTGTGTGTGTGTGTGTGTGTGTGTGTGTGTGTGTGTGTGTGTGTGTGAAAGGAAAATAAAAGAACAACAGTATCAGAGAAA